TTTTCCTCCTCTCTACTGAAACACTTCCTTGCATTCACTTTTTTATCTCCAAGTCTCTTTCTCATCTTTTTTAGAGAGGAGGCGACCAAAACTTCACCTCTGTATTTTAGGAATGGGAGCTATACTTGCTTCGTACAGCAGGTCAGCCAGACTCACCACTGTTAAGAATTACTCTACACTTTGTTCCTGGTTCTTCATGAGTAAGAGACATTAAGCACGAGCCTCAAACTGTGCATCAACTTCCTTAAGTTGTAACAATTATTTTACCAGCCCGAAATTCTGTGGACAGTAATGCAGGTTTCACTGATGCTACCAGTTTCTCACTGTTGCTGCCCTGAGAAAATATATAGGCTGCAAAGACCAGTAAGACATGAGTACTGTAGCTAGGTCCTGGAAACAACCGTCAAAAGGAAAAGGAGCACTTTTCACAGTCCAGCCTTTCATTAGGAAAAAGGAGAAAAAGCTTTAGAGTGAATCATGCAACACATGGGGGACATTCTGGTAAGAAACCTTCAGCTGTCCTTGCAGCATCCAAGATGGGCTGTTTTGTTTCTTGCATTAGGAACTGCTGAGCAGCAAATACTCATTTTAACTCATCATAAACCCAATCATTTTATTCCTTTGACTTGTCAACAGTGTGGCTGCACGTTTTTCACACTGCTTCACGCAATTAGTTCTCAAACCTATTTTCAAGATCTCCAATTTCTCTTTAAGCCTCCATGAAGAAAAAGACCCTTTAACAGCTCAACATACTCATTGCATTCTATGCCACAACAGACAGTGGCCAGACTTGTATGCAACAAAAGGGTCATTATGTCTAATTTCACTAAACAAGGCTGAGCAAATCAGATTGCTGTTTCATTCGCATATACTTTGAAATAAAATCATCATGTTTCATCCAGTCTTGCTTTCAACATCCTTTCTTCCAAATGAATCTCTATCTGTCATTCCTTTCTCATCATTTTCACAGGCCAAAGCAGCCTCTCCTTGTCATTATTTCTTTGTCCCCTTCAATTCTTCCATTTCCAGCTCATCTTGCTTGTATCATTCTTCACAGTCCAGACAGGCACTCAAGCCTGGAGACCAACCAACCTGTCCCATTTAGCAGCAGGACTGCATGAAAACTTTAAAAAAAAACCCTTCATATACACATACACGAGTACGTGCGCACACGCATGTAGATGTGGACAGGCACGCAGTGTTAACTTTCTACATTCACACGCGCGCACAGCACCAAGTCACAGAGCTAAGCCCAGGCAAGAACTAGCCATTCCACTCTTCTGATCTGTGCATCCACATTAAGCTGCAAAGTGAAATTTAAGCAACGTCAGTCAGCTAGAGGAATGCAATCAGCAGACAAGAAGCTCGGAACAGCACAGAAGATTGGTAATACACTAGCATACAAGAGAACTTTCCAGGAGAAAATCTAGGAAGCAGCAGAATAGCCTCTGCCTTACTCTCGTAACTCTTAAGATCTGCTACTACCAACATCTATCTGCCAACCTGCATGCTGCCCTACTACCTCCGCTACAATTTTAAATCACAGTACTGAAAATGCGCACTTTTTTGCATCTGCTATACAAGTTTTACCACTTCTATTCTAAAATAGAACACAAAGATGAACCTACAGCGCTGGATGGGAGAAGAAGAAAATACAAGGAAAACGCAAGACAATACTGGTCAGCATGACAGACAGAGGTCTCCCTAGAATATCTAATGGCTGGACAAATTTTGGGGGCAGTAAGGCGAGGATAACAAGGAGGAGGCTGTTGAGGGAGAACGGGGTACTTTTGCAAGTGTTTCCTGTTTTCCACAGCCAGGAGAAGCCCAGCATAAACAGAGAGGCCAACTGTCAGTTTGAAAATAAACGAGGCAGAAGGATGATTAAGAGGCAAAGGACCTTCACCTGCAAACACAGGTACAAAAAGTCCTTTAGGAAGATTTACTGGACAAGTCTTACTCTCCGCTACATTTGCGACTGTGGGTCTTCTTTATTGCTGTAAGGCCTCGATGGTTGTGTGCGAGAAGTTTACAGAAAGCAAAGAGCCAAAAAGAAGTGCCCTGAAAAAAAGACAACAGCAATTTATCTCTCCGAGTTGCCCTAATCCTGAAAACAAGACGACAGCTTATTTCCTCATGAGGTAGCAGAATCAATGTTTTCACTTTTCCAGCTCTTTACTCAGGGGAGGATGGGAGCCGCAGGGAACGCTACCCTGTAACGCCTCAAGGGGAGCTAGATCCATCTTACATTGCAAGCATCCAAAGGACCACCACAGCTATTATAATGAATCTCACAACACGTATGTTGTATAATACATATAGAGGAATCCCGTTGAAACGGGGGGAAAAAAAAGCGCAAAGCGTGTTTCTATATTCACTTGCAAACTGTGTTGCTTTTTCACACTGGAATTAGCTAGATGGGAACAATCTTTAAAACATACTTGTCTGCAGAGAACGACAAACTCAGTATGTGCTAAATAAGTAGATTTTTCTTCACAAGCAGTCCTTACAAATTAAGTATAAAAATATATTTTTCACCAAACTCAACCTCAGAAATATCTTGCGAGCACAACAGTAATTTCATTTATTCTAATTTCATAACTAGCATTAATGTGAGGGCTGTCATCTCCATTCCTGATTTCTATCTTCAAGAGTTTTTAGACTATAAAACATCCTTCAGGCTATGACTTCATATATGAAGGTCAAAGTGCACAAAAGGCTTTGCTTTTTTTTTTTTTTAAACTGTGCAGCTAGTTCATTTATCTAAGCTGCATACAGATATGGTACTCCTTTCTAATAACTAGACATTTGAAAGGAGAAACTGAAGACAAACGTACTGCTTTTTCTCACTGATCTATCTACAGCACAGCTGAACTAAGCTATAGAGGCAGGTTATGTTTTCTGTTTGCAGAACAGCAGCAAACTGGCAAAAAGTATGCGGTGCATTAATATACTCTTAAGTGCTGTGTTATGTAAGAAATTGCATAATAGAGTGGAATAAAGACAAGTTGCCATACCTGAGGTTATTAGCATTTCCTAAAACCAAAGGTAGATAAACCAAGTTACTTGACTTTCTCTAAATGTTTACAGGCATTTCAAACGTGGCTCTCACTTCCTTGTCAGAAATTTGGCAGCAACCATACTGCTCTTGAAACTCTCCTTCTTGTCACTAGGCATGACAAAACGAAATTGTCCTTCTTCCCAAACATAACGTGCCACCATTTACCATGTAAAAAAAACTGCTTCAGTAAGCTCCCTACGCCACAGGAACAAAGCTCCTGGAGTGCAGTTTTACTGTACAGCTAAGGTTACCTAACGCAATACTTACCTAATGCTGCTTACCGCGCAGCTTGCTGCTGCAAGGGCCGTTTCTGCCAGCCCCCTTCCTCTGCTGCCAGCCCCCTTCCTCCACATGTCCCAGTCACTTCCCCTACACTAACACCAGAATTTGTTGGATCTCACAGTGAAAGGCGGAAGCTCTGCCGAGAAAACTAACCATCCTAAAAAACAAAATGGAAGAAAGTTTTCCGCTAGTTCAGCTTCTTCAACTTGCGTAGCCAGAGCCAAGGCAAGGCAGGCAGAACCAGCACGCTCATGCATCAGCATTAGCTGCACCATGTAATCTCACCTTGAGAAAGCAGGACCAGCTCAAATACAACACTGAAAAACAAGTCCCCTGCATTAAAGATTCTTGAGAAAATTCTCAAGTAAAGTCTCAGAGTAATAGCTGGAATCTCTGTTCCCTATCTTCCTGAACTTAAGTCTGTTTACAAGGGACTTCATAGAGCAAACATCTGCGTTACAGAGCCTCTGCAACCTCTACCACGTCAAAGACTGCTGCTGTCCTCCTCGTACAGGTAGCACGTGTCAACAGCAGAAGACGCCTCCTGCCAGCATAGCTGGCTATCCCTTTCTCGCACATCGCAAGCTAAGATAACAAATACTCTTTTCTGTCAGCATAACTTTAGCCATATAAAGAGTTCTAGGGAACAGAGATGTCAGCCAGGGACATGTGTATACATGTGTGTATTTATACACACACACAAAAGTATACTTAAACTTCCTGAGTTCAAACAGCTCCGGCTGCAAACCCATGCAAGGCAGACCAGACAGGTTGGCTGTATCACTCCTTTCACATGACAGACTTTAGTAGCAAAGCCCCCTCACTCCTTCTGGAAGAGCCTCAATGCTTCCCTGGCTAGTTTATATAAAATATGATGACATTTACTCAGAATAAGAACCCATTTTAAGAAATCTGCTCTCTCAAGCTGCACAAGGGGAACGGCACTTTCCTCTCACGCAGAGCACTTGCGCACAGCTATTATTACCATACAGTTTTCTCACAAATGTCCTTGCATAGTTCAGCAAGAAAACAGAGCATGAGATGCAGATGTGATGGAAAAGCCCCTCCGCTGCTCGCTTTCCACTACGTTCCTCAGCTTTCCCGCAGTTACATCAAATACCTAAGTCAGATGCTGGACCACGATTTGCACCATGAGCGAGGCTGTCTTCCAGTTTGGCAAACACCAGGCTGCTCTCCATCCCAGGGGAAAGCTGGGACCTTAGCTAAACGCTAAGCACCCACCCAACAGCTCAGACTGGGATGCAATTCAGAGCGGCTTTGCAAAGAAATACCGGCAGGAACTGAATAAACTCGCGGTCCTCAGACACCAGTACCTGCAACAAAGTTCAAGTCACAACCTGAGCGACCGCCCCCGTTCTTTCCCCTTCCCCAGAAGATCGGCTGACTCACGCCCGAAGCAGGAGGCAGCAGAGCAGGTCCCTTTCCACACGGGCAAGCCACGGTCGTAGGCAAGCGCCACGAAACCAGGCTGCAGGGCTTTCTCCCGGCCGGGCAAGGCTGTCCAGCCATGGCGCATCCTGCCCTGGCCGCGGAGGGCACCCAGCGCGGCGCCGGCACCAGCACGGCCAGGCGCTCAGCCCCACAAGAAGCCTGGACAGACGGCATCCGAACGCAGCACGAAAGGCTGAATACCTACTCCGCGTCCTGCTCCCTTTCGCGCCGATCCTGAAAATTAATCCTGTGGCTGCAATTCAAAAACAAAAGCGTTGTGCTCTCATCGGGCACCACTTTAAAAATAAACAACCCGCAAGGATTTAGCGATCGCTGCTGGGTGCTACTGCACTCCCGGGGGGGGGGGGGGGGGGGGGGGGCGCC